TAGTGGGAGAGGGCAGGAGAAGTGTTTGCATATTGAAGTACAAAATCAGCTGTGTTTCATGGAAGGCTGGGCAGAACATGAGAGGAAGAAGTGTATGAAGTGCCAAGCCGAATCAGAGCTAAGAGCTGCCTTTTCTAGGGTGATTTCTCCAAAAGAGCCAACACACAGTGCTTTGGGCTGCCTGGTGAAACCCCACAGGTGCATGCTAACTGTCCTTATGCGTCAGCCACCTCAGTGTGAAACAGGGTAAAAATCCCAAAATAATTTTTAGGCAAAGTGGGAAGGGGCGAAGTGACAGTGAGGAAGGACAGTCGGTGACTAAGGAAACATCAGATCCGGATTCAGGGGTTTTCCCCTTTTTTTCTGGCCTTGTGACCTTGGAGACCTTTTCACCTGTGGGCCTCACCTTCTCTGGTACACAAGGAGACAGCTCCAGGTCTCTCAAAAGCACTGAGAGGACTCGCTCGTTCTTATGTGCCAGGTGCCAGCATATTACGGCAATGGTGGTCACAGAAGCATGAAAATAGAAAACGATGAGGCTGAGATATGAGGAAGACAGGCATCTCCTCAAGAAGGACAGAGCAGGGAAGGAACAGGAACGTGCCGCCTCGGCTGTCTAGGAGAGCTCCTCCTACAGAGACTGATTTTCATGTCACTGCAGGACATTAAAGGGAGACGTCCAAGAGTGTGCTGGGGGATGCAAGGCCAGGCCAGAGGAGGTGAGACTGAGCCAGAGAGAAGTAGGAGGCTCAGACTGTGAGTGGTTTGGAACAAGAAATGTCTTTTCATTACATTTGCATACAGCAGGAGCCCTGGTACTTGTTCGGAGCTTATAGGCTTGACTGCAGTACAGATGATAACGGACAATAACTGATGATTTGTGTACAGCTGACAGCTGAAGCCATAGGATGTATGGGAATATAGCAAGGGAGGAGAGCAAGAGGCCAAGGACGGCACACAGAGGGACTCAGTGAGGCGGGGGCAGGATGAAGGAGCCACACAACCCAGGCCAAAGCAGTCGGAGGAGATTTGAGGGGAAAGTCAAGCTGAAGAGAAAGGTCAGATGAATCAAAGGCAGCATTTAGCTAGATGAAGCCAAATGCAAAGCTCTCCTTTCATTTGCTCGAAGGAGATAGGCCACGTTACCTCCTCAGCCACAATATTCCCCATAGAGCAGAAAGCAGTGGGCGCAGGACTGCAGGGAACAGCAGGGAGTGGGAAAAGCTTGGTGTGCAGCAGGGGTTCGTGGGAGCAGACAGATGGGCCCTCCAGAGAGGCAGGAAAAGAGGGAGGTTGTGTCCCTCTTTGCAGAGGGGCAGGAGTCAAAGGAGGCTAGTTAAACAGGAGAATAAAACAGAGGGAAGGAGGGTGGAGACCAAGACAGGCTGAGGGAACAAGGGCACATCAGAAATAAGGGTGAGAAAGAGGCTAGAGGTGAGCGCAGAAGACAGGTGAGGGGACATCTTGCTCAGTATTCATATTTGGGCACAAACAGAAGTTGGTGAGAACTTACAAAGAGGAGGAGGCAGAGGAGGGAGAGAGACCACGAGGAGGGTGCTGAGGGTAGCAACTTTTGGAAAGAGGAGAGATGGGATGGACAAAAACTGAATTGGGAGAAAAAGTGGAGCTGGGAAGACAACACCTTTCCAGGACTCTCTCTAGAAATGCTCAGCACTGAGGTCTGCAGCAGGGATAGAGACAGAAAGGGAGAGCTCAAGAAAAGCTGCAGGCAGGCACCAGGCAAAGGAGAAAGCAAGGTTAAAAGCAAAAATGGTGCCATGGTCAGGAAGGAGAGAGGTAAGGGGAGGCTGAGGGACCAGAGGCAGCAGGAGAAGGCAGGGATGCAGGAGTGCTGCCGAAGCAGGGCATGGAAGAGACCTAAAGCGCTGGTCGCTACTGAGAGTCAGCATCAGGCCAGAGAGGATGCTTGGAGCACTGGGAAAGAGCCTGGCATGGAAATCACTGCTGCGGGGAGCAGTGAAGGAGAACCAGGCACCGGGGAAGGGAGGAGCAAGAGCCAGGGGTTAGGAGGCAGTAGGAGGGGTGGAAAGCTTGGTACGCAAGACATACTGGTCTGCTAGAGATATCTCCATCTCCCTGGCACAGTGTGGCTGAAGGCAAAAACAGGCTGCAGGAGAGAGATAGGGACCTCTCCAAGCTGCACTGTCTACATTTGGTTCTGCTTAGCTGTTGCTTGAGGGACATCAGCAGCAGGTATTTGCTATGAACACAGAGGCCCACTTCTCCCCTCAGCCCTCCAGCTCTGCCACCAACCACCCAGCCCGCCTGTGCCCGAAGCGCAGGGAGGAGACGCAATATTTGCAGCACGCGGTTTGCCTTCGGCAGCCCAACCACTGTGAAGAGGCAAGTACATTAGAGACTGCTCTTCACTTAAGAGAGTCCGCTGGGAGTGTCTTTAAGGCTTTATGATCCAAATCCAGTGCCCCTGCGGCTCTGTGTGTCTGGGCTGAGAAACCTGTCTGTGCACAGCCGGTTCACCAAGCACAGAGCTCTGCGTTTACCACTGGTGGGTGAGGAGGCGCTGGCTGCCCAGCACTGATGTGCTGACGGTTTTCAGGAGGACGCTAAATCTGCAGAATAATTTCAGAGGTGAGTCACGCCAGACACAAAACTGACACAAAAGGGCACGTGAGCTCCCAGGCTCTAGCCTTGCCCCCTTCTCCAAGGTGATCTCCACTACTGCAAACATCATCCAAACGTGCCGTAAAGCCAAGCTCAGTTTGGGACCATGGGAGGCTGACAACAGGGTATATACCGCTCTGCCAGCCGCACCTGGACTCCTCTTGGCATCCTTTCTGTTCCGCGCAGTAAGGAAAATGCTTTTGCTGCTGCATAGCTGCCTGCAACAAGCTCCCTACCTCTGCCACATTCATTGGTATACTCATGAGAAATCCTGCTACAGGGGACTGGAGACTGGGCTCTCACCTGTTCCCTCTCCCAGCAGGATAAGGCAGGTCCCCCGAGGCTGCAAAAGAGCAGGATGTGCAGGTCCTAGGACATCCGGACAACACCCCTGGTGCCTGGTTTTCCTCAAAGCCCTGCAAAGACGAGGAGCAGCTCCCGGCGGCTTTCTCAGCCTGGCTCTTTTGCATAGGGACAGCAACAGGCCCCCGCAGAAAGTGGCTCAGTTCCTAGCGCTGGCTGCACGCTCAAAGGCTGGCTGCTCGAGAAGCACTCGGCGTGGGCCAGGATCAGCGAGTGCTCGGTGCTAGCAGCACCACGGCTCTCCTCCAGAGCTTCAGGCACCAGTGCAGGTCTGGCAGATCAGCCCAGCTCTGGCCACACGCTCCTGGCAGGAGGGCAAGATGAGAGGAGAAGGTGGGACTCCAGGATTTTATACAGAAAAGGAAACAGAGGTTTTCTTTTCCAGCCTTGCCAATGTGACTGTCAGTGCAGGCTCCTGCACGCTGTATGCAAGCAACAGCCTCCCTCCCCATGCGGGATTAACAAAGAGCAGGGGGTGTTGGCACGGAGATGTGCTCGCTGGGATGACGAAGGGGAGGATTGCCACTGTTAGAATGGAGGGGACACTGCTGGAGGGTCTGAAATATGTGGTGGCCTTTAAGGGGCCCCATGAGCTGGCACGGCCCACTGACTATCCAGGACTGAGGGGTTTCCTGCCCTCCCCCATGTTCAGCAAGCTTTCTGGACAGCACTGCGGGCAGGCGCCGCAGGAGGGAGAGAGAAAAAGTCACGGAGATGCGGCCTGAATCCCTTGCAGAATGTCTTTGGAAGGCTCCTGGTCGATAAAAGCCTTCTCACATTTCTGGGTAGCACTCTAGCGCTGACTGCAGGTTTTCACAGCTTGCCGTCGACATCTAGCGTTCAGACGGGAGCACATTAACGTGCTCACGCTCCCAGAAACAAATATAGGGTGTCACGAAAGACACAGTCTTGCAGCCGGAAGCCTTCCAATGACAGAGCAGACAGCGCACAGGCCCATGCTGCCATGCTTCACCATCCCACGGGTGCCCCTGCTCTGACATCAGACAGGGAAAAGGGCTAAAATCTCCAAGATATTTCATCCTACGTTCCCCTTTGCTCCAGCTACTGGCAAGGATGTGTTGAGTGCCATCTGTAAGTGCAGTTTAGTGATGGGGACGTGTCGGCGCTAGGAACGGATGGAGCACATCCTGATGTGCTGTGCTTTAAAGTCCCGACCAACTGCTGGCTGGTAGCGCCACCGGCTCCCTGGCAGCCCGGCGGAGGTGGGGGCCAGCCAGTGGCACGGCCATGCAAGATCTTTACCCACCTGCAGAGCTTCCCAAGCTGAGCCCATGAAAGTCACAGCCTCTAAGATAATGAACACAGCAGACCACGCTGTTAGGATTGAAAGCCGCCAGTGGTAGAGAAGCTACATAAGCTGCATAAGACCTGCAAAAGAAGCTCATTAACCCAGGACTATTTAATATGCTGGAGGCTTGTGCGCAGCCCGCGAACTGCAGTAGGATCCAGTGCCAGGTTTCGCACGCTCAGCCCCTCAATGCAGTCGGAGGCACAGAGATACGCACCAGAACCAGAGCCAGCCTTCTCGCTCTCCCACCGGCTGACCCAAACGCCAGTGTTTCAGGGCCAGGATGCACAGGGTATAACATGGCGGGAAGGATGTCCTAGCACCCAGCTCACCCTGGGAAGTGAAAGGGTCCACGTGTCCAGCGTGCATGACAGCAGTGACGAATAGTCCCCTTGTGCACCCTTGGGCTTGGAGATATATTCAAGCTATACTCCATGCCCACATGCATTACAGTACTTGGATTCACAGGCTCAATCCTTAACAGAGCCAGGACACAAACCTCAGGGTATTTTATAGTGGGAGGATCTGGATCCCAGGGCATTAAAATGCAAACATCTACCTCCAAGCTGCTGTCTGCTCTACAGCTCCCTCTCCAAGTGCGCACTTGCCTGGAGTTGCGCGGGTGTTGCTTGAAACCAGCATGCTTATGTCTTTTTATACATGTCCCAATTGTTTTTTGTCTCAGGTCCGGGATAAGAAACTCCTAAATGACTTAAACGGAGCAGTTGAAGATGCCAAGACAGCACGGCTTTTTAACATCACCAGTTCAGCCCTTGCCACCTTCTGTATCATCCTCATCTTCATCTTCCTGCGATACCCACTCACTGACTACTAAGAGTGAGGCCAGCAGCAGCAGCCGCCGCCAAAATGCCTCTATGCCAGAAGTGTCTGCAGTTATTTCCTGTAGCAAGGGTGCAAAAACAAGACTCCACCTTGATTGCAAAAAACCCCAAGTAAATACATAAGTAAAGATTAAATGAATTTAGCAGCCTAACTGAGCATACCCTTCCTGCCCCCAAACTGTATGTGAACTACTGTAGGAAAGGGTTTCACTTGTACATTTGTACAGGGAGAAAAACAAAGCAATAACAAATATCTATTTACAGTAAAGAAAACCGTGTGACAGCAGCGTGCAAAACCTCGAGCTAAACATGACTCGAGCCAATAAGCCTAGACAGGGAAACTGGCCGCAGCGGTACAGGAGGGAG